ACGGTTCACCTGCTGCTCGCAGGTGTGCCCGCTCCCCTTCGCTCGCACGGGCACTGTCCCCACAGCCCCTTGCGGCGACAACGTCCCGTGGTTTCCCACCTGCCACAGAACATGTGCTTGTTAGTACCCATTGGAAACTGATTAAATTTCACTCACAAAAGATTCACAATTTTACAAGTTCCACTTTCTCCCGTGCTGTGAGTTTTGGTGAAAGTGTTCTTCATTCAGTTTGCCTGCCACCTTCTGCCTCTGTAGACTTCAGTCTTGCCACTCTGTTCCCTTATGAAACCCCTGTCCCAGTCTTCTTTGTCTCTCCTGGCACAGCAGTGTCACCATTCCCTGCGTTGTACCTGCTGCCCTTCTCTGGACCTGCCCTAACTCCTCTAAACCCATCCTGTGATGTGGTGACTGCATCTTCATCCAGCGTTCAAGACATGAGTGCACCAGGGGTTTACATCACAGAACAAGTGCCTCTGCCTTGTCCTGGCAATGCACAGCATTTTGTTGTTTCTCCAGCTGCCCCAGCACGGAGCCTGTGTCTCCAGGTACAGTCATGAACACCTTGGGACCTGTCCTGCAGTGCAACTGTCAGGTTCCAGTTCAGAACTCAGCAGACCACATTCAGGTAATTTTCTTTAGATACATTACCTTATAATTATCCATACAGAACCAAATAGACCTCTCTGTGTCTGTTTGCTGGAGGCCACTTCAGACAGTATGATGTGACCTTTTAATTGGCAATATTGTCCTGCTGCCAATCTGTCCTCCCATTCCAGCAGGCCCCTGAGTGCAGCACCCTCACCTGCCAGCAGTGGAGGTGGTGAATTACTCCTTTGATTACTGTGGTGGCTGGAGTGAAGGAAAGTGTCCAGGATCTCACCCATGCACAAGTGTCAGCATTGCTCAGGGCTGGTAAGGGCAGATCTGATTCAGGAAAGGGAGAAAAGTAAACAGCAGGACCATTTGAAAACATAAAGATAAGCACAGAAAACTCCACATGCAGAGCAAATGTTTTTATTCAAGAATTTGACCAAACACTGCCTATAAAAGCTCTAGCATTGCAAAGAAATAATTTTGTTGCATTTAGGAAAACAGATCTTTTCAGGGAAACAGTTACACCATAAGGTCTCAGACATACTGCCTGAATGTGTGCCCTGAGAGGTCCAAATTTGTCACAAAGATGCAGAAATACATTTCCCCCATCTGTAAGACTGGTGGCAACAGTAAGATTGTTTCACCCTTCTGTCCTTGCAGGAGCAACAGCAACAATCCTATAGACTAATACGGTGAGAAGCCTATAAACTGCAGTACTTCTGCACCTCAACACTATAGGAAAACATTCTCTTCAACATTCACTTGATTCCAGAAAGGAATGGAGATCTGAAAAGCCATCTTAAAATTTACTTAAAAGAACCCTTGTTTCAACCCCCAGTTCAGATAGAGGGGACAGGAGTTGTGTGCTGAGTTAGGAAATGGGGAAACCATAGGGAGCTTAGGATGAGGTCTCTGGAGATAGTGCAGATGCTCAGCAGTGAGGCTGTTGCACACCACTTTTCATCTGCATATTTTGCATCACTCATGTTCATGTGCCAGAACCTAGACCTCCTTGCTGCCATCCACAGAGTAAGTTTAAAAGCTTTTAACAGCCCTTTGTAAACTTTTAGGATCATGCACAGTGCCATTGGGCTTAGTAGAGCTTTTAACTGACATGAAAGGGACATGAACTAAGCTGAATAATCATAAGTCACAGGAGGGGATGAAATACGTATTTCTTATGCAGAATGTTGCTGCTGGTCATCCAACAACCTGAGCTGAAGCTTTCTTTGGATCTGTGTTGTGCTGAAACTGCTTGTTCAAAGATAGAGCTGGGAGTTACCCCTCTGTTGATTTGGAGATATGTTCAGTGTTTTACTATAGTGTTTGCTGCTAACAGATGAGGTACAAACTTAAAGGTACTGCAAAACTGAGACAATCTTATTCCACTTTTGTTGCTATAATGAGAAATCATAAAAAAATGCTTTGTGTCACTTCACTCCTACTCAAAGTACCACAGCTGAACTTGGTCAGTATCATCTTCTGGGTTCTTATTCTTTCTGCAACAAACAGCAGTCAGCAGAAGAGAGCAATAGGAAGCCAAGGATACAAATATTAACCTTCACCACTGTTTTGGCTTGTCTTTTATTTATTTATTTTTAATTTTTGGCTCTTTTGTTTCTGGCCGCTTCTGATGTCATTGCTGCTCTAAGAGAAGGGGCTGGCCTGACTTGCCATGGACCAGGAGCTCCGACCTGGTTCAATGCCCTCCCTGGGAACTTGGAGAGTAAAGTAGAAGGAGCAAGTCACGAACTGCCTCGTATTTCTCCAGTGTGAGGCAGCTGGGAACTGCAGCACAATCGCTGCTGAACACCATAACCAGATTTATTGACTGTCCCACATAAATAAATAATTGCAGGGACAATGAGTGCAGCATGATGACGATACACCAATACTGCAGAAAAGAACTGCAGGTTATTGTTAATGACAAACTGAACTCGAGTCCACAATGTCATCCTGTTGCGAAAAAAACTAACATTGCTAGGGTTTATGAACAGGAATGTCATGTGTAGGACACATGAAGAAATTCTTCTGCCCCCCCTCCAGTGCTGGTTTGGCCTCCAGTCTTGCACACTGTGTTTCCAGAGGCCAGTGGATCAGCTGGAGGGGATCCAGAGGAAAGCAAAAGAAAGCTCTAGAAATACAACCTATGAGGAAAAGATTGGTCACAGTGATCTCATTTGAAATAACAGGTGTCTGTTAACAACTTGCAAGCTTGTTAATAGAGAGGTGTCTAAACAACTTGCAAACTTGTCAAGACCAGGGAAATATTTTGTTCTCTCTATCTGCTGTTGGCATGGTCAGGAAAGAGTGAGCTTAGCCTGAAGCAAGCGGGATGTCTTTCAGGCACAAAAAAGGCAAAATGTCTCCTGCACACACCAACTCCACCACTTTGTAAAGAGATGAGCAGTTGTTGCAGGAACAGATAGTCAGGCAGGTGGTGGGTTCCCATCACTGGGGCTCGAATTCAGTCATGTGAGGGGCTCACCTGTCTGTGTTCTTGAGAGAAGGAGGTGCTGGTGCTGCCCATGCCACTCACTGTGAGCTCACAGTGTCATTTCACCCCACAAAGCCACTGTGCCCCTTTTTACCCCACCCCCACCGGCTGGTCACTGTCCCTGTGGCTCCAAGGCCATTGGGGAACAGTTGCCACAACACATCATGCAACAGCTCAAGTCTCTGAAGTCATAACTCAAACACAGGATATGCATTTACCTGGATAATGTTTACCTGGATGTAAACAAGCACAAGTGTGGACAAGGTGTTTCTCTTCACTGTGCCTGTACCCAGAAACCAATAACACTCATACTTTGTGGAACATTCCTCTCAGCATCTGTAACAATCTTGCAAATCTCTCATTGTGGTTGTCGGCCCCTCGCTCACTGGTGCTTCCCACTCCCCAAGAAGCTGGAGTGCACTCTGTGTCTTTCACGTGCCTGCAATGGACTCAGTGCCCAGGCTGAGTGAGGAAGGGCCCCCACAGCTGCTGGACTCTATCCCCTCCCCAGGCCACAGTGGTCAGTGTCTGCCTTGCTCAGCACAGCTGCTACCAGGTTGCTGCAGTGCATTTTAAGGTGCTAGTGTTGTGGGAGGTCACGAAAGCATTTGTTGTTTACATTCCCTAGTTTTCCTGACAGAGGGAAATTGCAAATAGTAGGAGATGGTGCTCATGAAGTCAGGTGTATCAATGAAGCTGTTTCCAGTCTGCCCAGGGCTTGCAGAGGAGAGCTCTACCATCCTAGGCAGGTCCCTGTTCTTGCTGCAATGCCCTGCATTTGTGCACGGTGGGAGCCACCTTGTTCCCCTTCTAAAAGAAGTGCAGAGGTTAGACAGCTCCCAGACACCAGTGGTCTGCTTTCCAAAGCCCAGCTCACATGGGTGGCAAGAGCATCCTGCATATCACTTGCTACACACAGAGTACTTTTCCAGAATGAGCCATCTCTACTAGACTGTGTAATGTCAGTGTCTTTCAGATTTTTATTTCTGAAATCAAATCAAAATTGATCCTAAATACAGGCAGATAGATAAACTGTAGGTACTGTATATTTTTAGTCATTCTGTTATTGGCTTTGAGCCACTCTATGTGGCTTGTGCCATCTTTCTGGCTCTTAAACACACTGTTTGCACAGCTTTTCAGAACCTAGCTGAGGTTTCTTTGAGCTGATTTTCTGCTCTGATTATGCAAAGAGGTAACAGGTGCTGTTACAGGTGCTTAATTCCATTTCAGCAATTAAGATTGCTGGAGGCACAACCATCACCATGGTTTATCAGAGACTCATGCAGATACATGTAGGTTTGGCACAGCAGCTTTGCTCACACTGCCAGACAGCTTTAACTATGAATATGTGCATTTTAAGAGTGCCTGTGTGACCTGACCTGTAAGAGACAAGGTTTGCCCCTTGCATTTCAGAAAACCTGCTGCAGTTTTATAAAGATGCTGTCAGAATCAATAAACAGCCACAACATTAATGAGAGATATGGAGGCTTTATTGCTGTTTGCTCAACAATAATTTGATGAAAAAAAAAAGAAAATCACATATTTGATTATTAAAAGCTGATTCAAGTAGAAATGCAGAGACCAAACACGGATTAGGTTACACACAAATCCTGAACCAGTTGGGACTGTACCAGTGCCTGAAAGGAGCAGATATAAATTGCTGGAAATAGCAAAATATGAGGGGGTAACTATTAAAGTGGTTTGTTACTGACCTCAGTGGATTTTTATGCAGAGTACCAGTTTGCAGTCTGTTCCTGCAGTAGTGCATCCTGAATGGGTGCATGGGCAAAACTCTCCTGGTGCATGACCTATGTGCAGTCTGGCACAGACAGGTTTGTCAGTGCAGCGATGCTCGAGCCTGTGTTCCTCTGAAGCCCCTTGTCAGTCCTGCTTTGGAACTGTGACTGGGCCTGGAAGAGGGAACTGCTTGCTCTTGCTGGCTTGGTCTCTGTCCACAGAAATGGGACTCAGGGCAGTCCTAGTACCAGAGCAAGGCAGTACCATAAAAAACAATTAAGCCATCACTAGTTTCTCCTTCCACTGGGAAAAGACAAGAACCAATTGCTCAAGCTACACAAGAAAGAAGGAGCTGAAGAGGTAAGCAACAAGGTACCTGTGGGGGTGAGCTGCTGAGACAGGGGAGCAAACCACAAAGGGGAGGGTAGTCAGGGCTAGTGGCGTGCAGAGGGCGTGACAGTCAAGACAGCCAGCAGCCTTGCTGGCAGAAATCATCCTGCAGGGTATGGCTGCCTCTTTAACTGCACCATACAAGGATGGCTTGGCCATTTCTAGAATACAAAGTGCTGGGTTGTGTGTTCATGCTTTGGTCCTGGGAGGGCCTGCGCACAACAAGACAGGGGGAGGGCTGCAGACCCCATGTGAGAGCACCTGGAGAAGACTAGAGTCATGCAGAGAGAGGAGAAAGGCACTCCCAGTAATAGCGGGAGAAACCCACTGATGCAATTGTACACAGCTTTTGGCCAGGTTCTCAACCTTATGTAACTGGGTCTGCCTGTGTCTCCTGAGCCACATTTTTTCCCTCTCTTGGCAGCAGGCTTCCACTGTGCCCTCCCCTGAACCCCACTGCTGCGTGCAGTATGACGGGTAGAGCTCCAGTTGCATCAGTTTGGGGGTTGTTGCCAGGCAGAACATGCAGCACTGTCCTTGAGGCAGCCCAATGCCATGTTTAACCCTGCCAGGCATGGCAAGAGGTGGGGTCAGCTGCGAGAAGTCAGAAAATAACCCACAGGTGCTTGGAGAGGGTCTGCATGAATTTCTGAAGGTTGTTTATGTCGCGTTTCAGTCAAAAGAAGAGAGAAACTGTGCAGCCCTCAGCAGAAGACAGTCCAAGCAGCTTCAATACGTGACATTTCTCCGTGAAGGGTTTTTGAAAGGTGCTATTCCTTGTCCAAAGGCTTTGTGAGTGAATGCCATGGGAGGCCTGCCCTCCAGTCTGGGGCTGGGGACCCTGGCTGGGCCTGCTGGCTGCACCCCACCACCTCCCAGCCTGCCTCCAGCCCTGAATCCCTGTCCCCCTTTGTGGCCTCAGCAGCGCCCATTGCAGCACTCTGGTCAATGGCAGGTCATGGCTCTGCAGCAGTGTCAGCCCAGCCCTGGCACTGAGGGAAGGGGCCAGTGCTTTGCATCCGGGGAGGTGAAGCCTTACTGCTGGTGGTGTAGTGAGCATGGGTTGAGTGCAAGTGGTTCTTCCTCCTCCCACTCAGATGGGGATGTAAACAGGAAAAAATCACACAGAGTGCTGGCCTCTTCAGTGAAGGCATCAACAGTTTGTTTGCCCAAAGATTGGCTCTTGTCCCTGAGCAGCTCTTCAGACTCTGGTCATTTGCTGCCATGGCAATAAGACAAGACTTAGAGCAGTCCTTGGAAGACAGGGAGGGTGCAAATGCCCCTCATTAATCCCAGGCCTGCAGGAATCAAGAGACAGGAAGGCATAGGTTCACATCACTGAGCAGAATAGGCCCTTCTGGGAATGGTGTAATCTGTGCCTTGCAGTACCGTCAGAGAGGGAAGACTTGCATAATTTCTGCTGGTTACCAGAATTAGGAGTTTGCTTGGGTCTTGCAGCAACCAAAAAAAGGGAAAAGGCAAAAAAAACCCAAAACAATGACAACTTGAGCTTTCTTTAATCCTTCGTGTCCTGGTATCTCCAAAACACTGGCTAGGGAAGTACCCTCTTCTCTAAAGCCTATAGATGAAGATGTCTCCTGATTGTAATGAAGCCACAAACTGGCCTTCCTCAGCTGGTGCATTTGAGCCCAGAGCTTTGAAGTCAGGACAGACTGATGGCTTCCTCAGGTTTTATGGTCCATCAATCCACTCTCAGTGAATTACAAGGTGGTAGCACTGGAATACTTGGACTCTGCAGATTTGCTCCCAACAGTCCTTGTGGACTGAGGGAAGTGGTGCCAAAGGGTAGCAGCCCAGGTGCTCCTGGAAGCCAAGATGTGTCCTGTAGGCCACCCCCAGAAAGAGTTAATAATCCAGAGGCATGTTCCAGGTGTTTGGAGTGAGGACAGTTGCAAAGGGGAGGAGAGGTCATTTTTGGGTGGAGAGAGCAGCCCTCTCTGTGAGCCAATGGCTAAACGATTTGGTCCCAACGCCCAGTTTTGGGGATTATTTCATGGGCAAGAATTCGCAGGACTTTCCTCTCAAAGAGATTTGTTCTGGATGAAAACTAGAGACTGGACCCCCAAGCTTGTTGGTGTCTCCCTGTCTGCACTGTAGAAGGTAAAATGCTATGCTCTGGTACCTTGCTTCTTTTAGGGGAGAAGTTTGGAGATCTTCCCTGGCTGCCTACATTGAAGGCATCTACTGTCCCTGTGTCTACAGCTCCTCTTTTTGGGAGAACCATGTTGCAGGGTGGTGTGAGATTCTCTGCTGGGATAGACTGTGCTTTTGGGACTCAGCCCTGTTACTGAACTGAGATATATGGCTCATTTCTAAGCTCAGTTTTTTATGCAGATCTCCTGTATATTTCTTCAGCTGCCTTTCTTCTAACCTAGAAGGTATTATCTACAGAAAAGCAAAGTCTTGCTTTGTGACCCTGTCAGATCAGCCTGAGTTGCTGTAAGCAGTCTAATAAGGCACTGCTGGTACAGTAACTGCAGCAGGATGGGGCATCTCGAGGTGCAAACTTGATTGAAACAGTGAGAAATTTGTTTAGATAGCAAATTCTGCCTGAACTGGGCAACGCTACAACCCTTCTGGCTCAGTCTCTGTAGCAAGGAAGGGGAAGCTGTGTTGTAAATATCTACAAGTCTGAGGCTAAGTAACTATCCTCAGGAAAGGGCCACTGTTCACTGAATTGCCTTTCAATGGAACAGAGAAATAAGACAGTACAGAAAGCATAAGCAGTTTGTGGCAGGATTACAAGGCGGTGTGCTAGTATCAGCAAGAATGGACTTTGTGTCTCAGGAGGTCTATACCTGCCCTGAGCCCTGTCCCCCACATGCAGGTAGAAAGCCCTGAGCTGTCAGCAGTTTGTAAGTAAGGCTTTTCCTGCCTGGGTCTAGCTCGTGCTCTGGGTATGTGTGCTGGGGTGTGTAAGTCACTTTTGTGCCCATTTTAGGGCCTTGAAGGCAGCTGTTCCTCTGCTGTGCCTTGCTTGTTACCCAGCCTCAGATGGGACTACGGGCCCTTTGCTTGGGGCAGTGCTGCCTCCTGGATTTCCCTCTTGGCCATACCAGTCTTGCTCCATTTTCTAAGCACTGTCTTTTGATCTAGACACTCTGGGCTGGACTGTTCTCTGCTGGCAGAGGCAAGTGTCTAACCTCTACCTTGCCACAGTCCAATGCATCCTGATAGCATTGGACAAGAACTACCATTTTGGCAGCTGAGATGTGATTTACAGTGCTGCGTTTCTGTCTGTAGACTGGAGGAACGTTCTGGATGTGAACACACATAGTGGGCCAGTCCTAGTGGTTGCAGCTTGAGGTGTGCAAGTTGATAGCTGAGGGGAGGAACGGGGTGACCTGGTCCTTCTGTCGGTGGAATATTGAATCTGCAGTCAAGCAGTGACTACAACATGTTGCTAACTCTTGGCTGCTGGCTTTAGTGGGCCCTGCTCCTCCTCAGCACAGCAGGTCCATGCTGGGCAGTGGTGCAGCTGGCACAGAGAATTGCATTTATCTTTCCCATTGTATCGTGCTCTCACTTATGCACGGGGTTTCACTGCACTCTGGCAGTGAAAGTACAGCCCTACTGGCTGCTGCTGCTTTGTCCATAGGCAATAGGTAAGAATTTACAGCTTTTGGAAGTTTTACTTTTGGGCTGCATCCTCAAATGGACAGATTCCTTGTTTGACATGAGTTAATTAAGCCCAGGAAATTCACTTTGCACTGACAGTTCTCAGGATGGACTCGTACCTGATCCAAGTGAATGGCCGTGGAGACCACGCCCCTATGCGAGATGTTCATCTCAAGAGCACTGGGAACACCATATCACCTGGGAAGGCAAAGGGCCGGAAGCCAAGATGGGCTGTCAGGGCTTCTGAAATGTCAAAGAAGACTTTCAATCCTGTCCGAGCCATCGTAGACACCATGAAGGTGGAACCCAACCCAAAGAAATCTATGATTTCCTTGTCCTTAGGTGAGCATAGTCCTGTGGCTGAAGCCTCTGGGTATTGTGGTCAACTGTGTGGCTGGCAGATTGCAGGGCTCTGAAGCACAAAGTTTGTGCAAACACCGAGGGATAGGCCAGACAACCACACAGATCTGTGCCTGTCACAGATTGTGAAAACTTTACTATTTTTTCAATCTTTGAAAAGGAGACCCAACGGTCTTTGGAAACCTTCCCACAAATGATGAGGTCACACGGGCTGTGAAGGAGGTTTTGGACTCAGGACGGTGGAATGGTTACGCTCCATCTGTTGGTAAGTTGACAAAGTTCATCCTGTGAGAGTTGGATGAAGGCATGTGCCAGCTCCTACCCCACAGCAGGTATACGTATACAGAGCCCACAGACATCCTTCCATTGGCACCCTATAGCTGTCCTCACTAGCAGTGACATGAAAACACAAATATGTGTATCCCCCAGATACACCTGAGTGCCCTTTCCTGCCTGAGCTGTTTGAGGCCCAGAGCTCCTGCAGAAGCTATGTTTGCTGCCCCGGCCATCGGACCAAGCAGGTTTTCAAGCACCCAGAAGAGCTTGGAACTCTGTGTCCCTGCCGTGGGTTGCAGCCAAGCTCCTTTCTGATCTGCCTTGATCCAGGACTCCCCTTGGGCTCCCTGACTTCACCAACAAGATGAGCCTTGTTTGCAGCTCGTGACGAAAGTGCGCACAGCACATAGATCATGCCTGCCTCACTCTCCATGTGGTGACAGGAAGGGCTGCCCCAGTGCCATCACTAAAAAGTGAAGGCCTTGTCATTGCGCGTGGCTTTCTTCCGGCTCAGAAAACTCCCTGGTTACCCTCCACCCTGCTCCTGTCAGTTCTGTCCCCAGGACATGCTGGAGTCAGAACCTGCCTCCCTGCCCAAGGTCTGTCCCTGCTCTTGGCCATCCTGGCCCAGCCTTGGGGTTGCATCCTTCTTGGCCTTAAGCAGGACAGTCTCTGCCACCCTGGGACACCACTAAATGGGTGAGAAGAAGAAACAGTCTGTAAAAACCTCCCTTCCGTGCTTGACTTCTCTTTTCTCAGGCTACCAGTCCTGTCGGGAAGCTGTGGCTGCATACTACAACTGCCCAGAGGCACCACTGAAGGCTCAGGTACTGGTGCCCAGCCAAGGCGCTCCCATCACAGTGCAGGCAGGGTGCTGCTGCCTGTGCCCAGACCACAGGGCATGGGAGCCCTGCCCCACCTCTCCCTCCCTGCCCAGCTGTGGGACTGAAGGCTTTGATCGCCTTGCCCTGAGGTCACCTCCTGCTGCCCTCATCCCTTCCCTGAGGCCTTCACCTCCACTCTCCTCAGAAGGAGGCTGGGCTTTCCAGCTGTTGGAAGTTTCATGCTTTCAGTCAGGCTCTGGTGCTGCCTTTTTGGCCATGCTCTACCTGTCAGAGTCGAGCCTGGGTGTTGTGTCACTCGCACACGTCTGGAGCACTTCAGAGTGGCTGTGCTTCCCACTGACCTCTCTCTCTGCTCTTTGCAGGATGTCATCCTAACAAGTGGCTGCAGCCAAGCCATAGAGCTTGCCTTGGCAGTACTGGCCAACCCAGGCCAGAACATCCTGGTGCCACGGCCTGGCTTCTCCCTCTACAAGACTCTGGCATTGTCTATGGGGATTGAAGTCAAACTTTACAACCTCTTGGTAAGTGGTGGCAGGCCTGGAAGGGGCAGGCCTGACATTTCTGCCTCTCAGAAATACCCTGGCCTTGCCAGGGGATGTGAATAACCCTGGATGCCCTGGCACACCTCACCCTATGTGGCAAGTCTAGTTCCTCAGCTGTTACTTCCCCTTCTCTTTACTTCACTAGCCAGAGAAGGCCTGGGAAATTGATTTGGAGCACTTGGAGTCTCTGGTGGATGAGAAAACAGCTTGCCTCATTATGAACAACCCATCAAACCCCTGTGGCTCTGTGTTCAGCAAGAGCCATCTCCAGGAGATCCTGGCAGGTAAGCCTGCCTGTGTGTATCTGGGGCATGGTTACAGTCCAGTATCTGCCCACATTGCCCATGTCTCAATCACTGCAGTACCATGGCCCAGGGCTTTGCTTCTCTCCTCATGACTGACTCCACCTCAGAAATCAGGGCCTGCTCGGTGTAAGGGTGTAGTCTTATTCAGTCAAGAAGATGCAGAGCGTGTGTCTTCCTCAAAAGTTCTGTGTGGCTTGGACTGCTCATTTCTCCACTCTGGCTCTGCAGAGAGAGTGTTCACAGGAGTCCTGTACTTCCTGAACCCTGGCCTGACAGAGGGAGGGCTATGCTGCCAGTTCCCACAGACTGGAGCAGTACTAGGCTCAGCCAGGGCAGGGATCTCCAATAGTTAGGCATTCTGAATGAACAGTCTATAGGAGGAAGATAGGAACCCTCTGCCTGGGACAGAGCTTCCCTCAGAGCCCTGCCAGGCCCTGCAGCAAAGGGCAAGTCTGTTCCCATGGAGGATGCAGGGTGGCCAAGCTGAATGTCCTCTCTCCCACAGTGGCATCAAGACAGTGCGTGCCCATCCTTGCTGACGAGATCTACGGAGACATGGTGAGTGACAGCTGCAGTCCTTTGCACCCCCAATGCTGCCTGTCCTTTTTGATGCACCTTGGCCATGACAGCCAGGTCTCCAGAGTTGAGGGGCAGCTCCATTCCCCTATGCCTGTGTCCATGCCTGGAGCTCCCAGTCCTTTGGTACACAGTCCTGGGGCTACTTCTCTTATCCAGCTCCTTTTCTCTTCCCAAACTGCTTGCTTTTATGTGAGTGCACTTTCAATGTTCATATCTTGAAGCTGTGAGCTTTCACCATCAATTTCCCATCACTTCCCTGCATCCTTTCTTGTTAAGTCTCATGCACACCCCAACAGTTCTCACAATAAGAGGCAGGTTCAGCCCTAACACAGTCTCCTGTCACAGGTGTTCGCTGATTGCAAGTTTGAACCCATTGCAACTCTCAGCACCAATGTGCCAATCTTGTCCTGTGGTGGCTTGGCAAAGCGGTGGCTAGTCCCTGGCTGGCGAATGGGCTGGATCCTAATTCATGACAGGAGAGACATCTTTGGTAATGAGGTGAGAACCGCTGAGTGTTGCTGTCATGGCAACACACTTGCAGTCTTCAGTGTGTGGATCACCAGGTCTTTAACTGATACAGCCAGGTACTGCTCTTTTGCTCTCACATCGGTGTCACCGAATTGATTTTACATGTGTTTATGCACCTCTAGGCCCTTCATGTCCCTTCCTTACTCCATCTGCTCCCTGACATGGCCTTCCAACCACACTACACTGTAATACACTCCTTGTTTCTGCTGTTCCTTAATATATGCCTTGTCCTTCTTGTGTACACCTAAATTCTCTTCTCAAATAGCTGCAATGTGCACTGAAAGTGTTGCATGACTTATCCAGCATGTGGAGTCCATGTGTGATGTCTATGTGCTCTTACATGGTTTCTCTTAAAAGTAAGCACAAAGCACCCTGCAGTGCTGCCAGTGCCTTATCTGGCTATTTTTCAGCTGTGTTACAAGAACAACCATCTACTGCAGTGACCTTTCCACCTAGAAGGCTCTCTGCAGAAGAAGAGGGAGAAGAGAGGACCAAATGAGTGAGCAGAAAAGCTAATGTTGATTGTCCTTACCTGGCTTTGAAAGTGTGCATTGTGGGCCCAAAACTAAGGGAAATGCAAAGTGGTATTTGGAACAGCTCTGGCTTTATTTGTATTATCTATATTCCAGCCTGGTTTGAGTCAGATTGGGAAGCTCCAAAGGTTTTCTCTGTTGGCATTACAATCTGCAAATGAGGAACACTGTAAATAGTCTGCAAAACCTGGCATATAGTCAAGCAAATGTTCTTTAGTGCTCTGTATGCTCACTGAAGAGAGGGGTGTGAACAGCTGTAGAAATAGAGAAAGTGGGCCTTGAAGCTGTTCCTTTCCTTAAGGGAAGCATCATCTGAGCTGTGTCATGATGTTTTCTCAGATCAGGGATGGCCTTGTAAGACTGAGTCAGAGGATCCTAGGACCCTGTACACTTGTCCAAGGAGCATTGGAGCGTATCTTGCGCCGAACACCACCTGAGTTCTACCACAACACCCTAAGCATCCTCAAGGTAAACAGGCTGTAACAGCAGCAAGGTTTGTTTATGGATTGTTTGGAGGGAGTCATATCTCTAGCTCATCATCCTTCCCCACCCCACTTTCAGGTGCAGTTTTGTCTGTGACTAGGACAGCACAACAAATCAAAGTCCAGCGGGAGACATTGTAACTGAGGCAGAAATACTGGCTGGCATAAGTTTCAGGCAGCCCAGCCCTGCAGCTGGAGTTGCTGACCCAGGGGATAAATGTAGCATTTGGCACTGACTTGCTGAGCTCAGCTCAGTAACACCTGCTGTGCTCAAGGCCATGATCTCTCATGCTGTTTACATTTGTTGTGCCTTTGTTTGCAGTAGGCAAACCTGCTTATAGTCCCAGTTCAGAGCTTGGCTTCCATTCGCTGAGCTGCTTCCTGGAATTTCTCCTGTTTTGAAATTTCCCTTTTTTGCTTTTCAGTCCAATGCTGACCTTTGTTATGCTGCCTTATCAGCTATCCCTGGCCTTCAGCCTGTCCGGCCCTCTGGAGCCATGTACCTCATGGTAAGTGAGGAGTGATGTGCCATTTCCAGACCACCAACATTCACAATAGGTCTCATTGCCAGTGCTTGTTGATGTTTCAGATTGGTAGTTGGCACCAGATCTCCCTTACTATGTGCATTTCCACAGTGCCCTCTGCAGTAGATGCATCCCCATGTCACTGGTCACAGAGCTGAGGCCAGTACAGTTCATCTGCTTGCTCCTGCACAGAGATCCATGACTTGTACTTTGCAAGACAATGTTGTTTTACCTGGATTTGAACTCAGGTGGCAAGGGGAAGCCTCTACACTACAAGGCAGATTTTCATACCTCTTGTAGAAGATGTAGCCTTCTTCATAGTAGCATGTGTTGTCTTCTGCCTATGGTGTTGCCTCTTTTTATACCTTTTACCATGCCTGTTTAACTTTTTATAATATTCTAAAATTTCCTTTTTCATCTCATCAAGCTCAATTGAGACATTTACGACACTTTAACGCATTTTGAATCTTTTATTTTTTTTGTCTCATGATGTCTCCAGTTTTTCATCAGATCTTAAAACATGGACTTAGAACTGGGGAATACTACAATATCAGTCTCGCTCATGTTCTATAGAGAAATCCTTATCAGTTGACTTATTTCCAGTTTTACCCAGAGCTACAAAGGTCATTCTGCTCATGCTCTTTGTGTAGAGGCACAGCTCTAAGATTCTTTCGCACCTATTATATTTCTGCAGTAGCTGAACATTTATTTCAAACTAGATCATCTGGTATATTTTTTTCCTACCAACTCTTTCAGAACTTCTTCATGCAAATTGTTTCGCAAATTATGTGTTTAACAATATTTTCATGAGATGTTTAAAATAATTTTTGGTTATAAAGGTCAGGCTGGATGGGGCCCTGAGCAACCTGATCTAGTGGGTGGCAGCCCTGGCCACTGGAGAGTTTGGAACTAGATGAGCTTCAAGGTCCCATCCAACCCAAATAATTCCAGAATTCTATAAATGAATGGCCAGCATAGCACTGTCTTTAACTGACAGATGGACAGCTGCCTTCTTTCCAGATACAGAACAGAAATATTTATTGAAGATTTTCGCATTTTCATATAATTTTAAATTTTTCATATAATTCTACAAGGATTTATTTTGCTCGTGATATTATATGCCTTACTATCTTTATTTTTTTTTAAATCAAAACATTAGTTTGTCTTTTTCCTACCATATGGATTTCCTGCATGACAGAATTGTTAATGTATATTAAGTTCTCTACCAAGCTCTTTTTCAATGTTTTCTTTATTCCTTTTCACTTTTAATTGGTTACTGTATCTTTGCCATCAGGTGCTTTTTACTGAAGTTGTGCTGAACTGAAATTCCAACTTTAGGTAGTTAATGAAGGCTTCTTGACAAGCTCAGCTTTCATTAATATGTTTCTGTTTGTATCTTACATTCAAGTCAGCCCAAAAAATTGAGGGCAGACAGCTGCACTTGACTGGGAAGCTGTTGGACCATGTGTGTAAACAAGGACACTGCAGATAGTTTTGGTGCCCTTGATTGCCATGTTATATCCCCCTGCTGCAGGTCGAGATTGAGATGGAGCATTTCCCGGAGTTTGAAAATGATGTGGAGTTCACGGAGCGACTCATCTCAGAGCAGTCTGTGTTCTGCCTGCCAGCCTCGGTGAGCCTCACACTGAGAGCCCCAGGGAGCTGCAGGTCCAAAGCATGGCAGGAGAAGCTCTGCAGGGTTTTGCATCCTTGAGCTCTGAAGGCAGGCTGGGAGTTGTGTGTGCAGTGTCCATGGTCTTCAATAGTGTGTATGAGCTGACTTTCTGCTCCAGGTGCTGTGTGTGGCAGTCTCTGGCTCATAGCCCTCAGTCAGGCTGCCAGGATCTTCCCAGCTCCAGGCTTGCTCTGTATTGCTCAAGTTGGCAGAGCTGTATCCCTGAACTCTGTGTACCCCCACACCTTCTTGCTGAAGGTGCTCCCTCAGAGACCTGGAGCTGCTCCCACCTGTGTTCCTTTCCTCAGCCTGTTTGCAGCCCCCAGCCCCTGTAGGCACAAGGAAGGCTGAGAACGTCTGTGCCCTGTGTTCACCTTCTTCCAGCTCCATTTCCAGCACTGGATGTGGACAGTGTCTTAAATATTCTCCAGCCCTCTCCTTCACTAATTCCTCTCAGTCCATTCCCTGGGTCTGCACAGTCCACACAGAAAGTTCTTGGGCCTATCACCCTCACAGCAGCATATCTACACAGACGCAGGCGGGAGATTTGCTTCGAACAAAAAAAAACAAACAGTCTAAGGGAGCATGAGCCCAGCCCTGCTGTCCTGCACTGACCATTTTCACTTGCTGATGCAGCACATGGCCCCAAGGCAGGTCTCTGAAACTACAGCACTACCCCAGGCACTCTGCCAGCTTCACCTTTTCTTCTTTCAGTGCTTTGAGTACCCAAACTTCTTCCGAGTGGTGATCACCATGCCTGAGGAGATGATCTTGGAGGCCTGCAGTCGCATTCAGGAGTTCTGTGAGATGCACTACCAGGGTGCTGAGGGAGCCCAGGATCTGGAGTGCGACAAGTAGCCACAGCTGGCCTTCTGCCTCTGTCAGGCTAGACCTTGTGTGAGGCAGCAGCCAGGCAGGCAAGGCTGCTTCCAGCCAGCCCCACACCCCCCTGCCTGCAAGCAGCCACTGTCTTGCTGCATCAATTTTTGTGCTCCAGAGAGCCTCAGCACTATGGGAAGAAGACGCCACTTCCTCTCCTCCTCCACTACAGCCTGCACACTCTCTCGCATCCAGTCCCCCTGGTCTCCATATAGTCAGCATCTGCACCCTGTGGTGGTCTATGCTGCCTGTGAACCAGCTGCAGGCAGAGGCAGAAGGCTGTTCCTGGGCCAGCCCCTGTGGCAAAGGCCCCACTGGCCTGTGGCTCCTGTGCTGGCCATACTTACCCTCAGGCCACTGTCTCAGAGGATAAGAGAAAAGTACCCACCTCTCAGTTACTTGTGTTACCTTAGGAGGCCAGAGCTCTTTATACTAAGCCCTTTGTGTGACAAAGGTAGTAAGTTATTGTAACTTTTTTTATTAATAAAGATTCTGACATGTCAATCCTGCACTGTGCTCCTGCTGCGCCGGGTCAAGCTCGGTCACCGTGTGTGTCACCCTTACTCGCCCCATGGTGCTGCAGTGCCCCAGGAACCATCCCCACCTTGTGACTGGCTGCCCAGAGCCATCCTGTGTGCCAGTATGGACATGGTGAGAGTGCCTCGGACCCCCAAAGAAATCCATCAGGCCTGGGAGCAGGATGGGCCCTGCAAGCTTGGCACAGACTGGAGCCAAGACAGCTCGCTGTGCCAACCTGGCTGCTCCCCACAGAACAGTCCTGTCTGCACCTGCTCCTTGGCCCTCACAGTCCCCCCACCATGGACCCCAACAGAGCAGAGGCTGCTGGTGCCAACTGCTGTGGGGAGGCAGCTGCCCCTGGGACTGGAGCCAGCCATGCTGGGTGCTGGTGCCTACGTACTCAAGGCTGGGGCAGCCACACGTTTCCTGCTGTAGTGGTGAATCATGGGGTGGAACCCCATAGCTCATATTGTACAGGGTGTTTGTGACACGCCAGTGGGGCCAGGGTCACCGATTGCCAAATACATCAGCTCCCTAAAATAATAAGGAAATGGTGGCCTGGTATCTGTTCATTTGGTGGAAACGAGAGGATTTGATAACACTCATCAAAGCACGTGTCCTGGTGAGCTGCCCGGGAGTCACTTCTGGAACTGACAGAGGGGCAAGCTGCAGAGTGCCTCATGTCGTCCCCTTCAGCTCTGCTCACCTGTCCTCCTGCAGAATTGGGATTCACGGGTCAACCCTGCACCACCAATGACAGGAAAATGAGCTATCTCTAGATCACACACTGCCAGACCTGACAGGTTCTGTGGGCGTCTCACTGTCTCCCCTTACCTTGCCCAGTACAAAGTCTGGGTACCAATAGTCCATTAGAGGAGAGGTATCTGTATGAGAAAGATAGCAGTATATGAAAAGGTCTTTGACATGTGAGCTGAATGTCCATGCCACATCTTTTCCCTTCAAAGAAAGTAATCCCAGAACAAAACGAGAGGGAAGCTGGGACTATGGGTGAGTAGTACACAGCATCAGAGATTTCATGCCACTAGACCTCTAAATAGAGCCAAATAACCAGAGCTGCCTAAAATTAAACATTGACAAATAATAAGTAGAATGATGTGTGAGATCTTTATAGCATGATGTTTCTGCATTGTTATGTCATCTTGCATCTACTACAGCTGTCAAGTTTCATCTGTTTCCTTGAACTCTTCTCCACACATCTTAGGTTCTGTGGCTTTAATCCCCATTACTAATGAACAGGTCCTGCTTTTAGAGAAAGCCATTCCTTTGAGATCACTCTCCCTTTAGGAACCCCTTTCCTTTCACAGTCCTCTCAAAGGTGTCTGTTAACATGCAAATATTCTGCAATAATTAACCTGATTCTATTTCTTCTTGACCCAGCAGCATTTGGCCTGAGGGAGCCATACCTCATAATATTCAGCATATTTAGATTTCTCAAGGCCACATCCTCTTTTGCCATCTTTTGCAAACATAACACTGCCTTTTGACCGCACCTAAGTTTTCCTGGATGCAATAGCAAACTAGCATTAAACCACAAATGTGCTGGTATCGTTTTTCAGGTATTATACTCACAGATGCTTTGCGTCATAATGTGGGTGTAGCCTAGAGCACCCTGCCAGCCATACAAACTAGCCTAAGCTGGTGTTTGGAGATGCTTTGTGCCAAAGAAAATCCCTTCAGCAATGAGACCAAGGAAGAAGTCAAGACACTGTCCTGAAGCTGCTCTTTGCAGATGTTTAGACAAGGTCTGCAGGGCTTTAGTAGAACTCCCTGAGAGCCCTTATGACTGATGGTGGGAAAGTAACGGAAGATTGGTGAGGAGGATTGTAGATAAATCCAAGCGACTTGCAGCTGAGGTGAGGTGTAGAAAAACACATGTATTGTACTAGTTGTTGTTTAGCCTTGTGTGTTTGATGACTAGTACATCTGCGTTTAGATAACACAGGCCTGTGATAGGCTGAGAAGCACCCCACTGAACATGCTTGGGATTCCTGCTCTGCTGTGGTAAAGATCAAATATCAGTGGTAAACTATGTCTGCAATAATCCCTAATATGCAGGTGAAAACAGCAGGTTTGGTGACCCTTGAGCAAGGACCAGGCTCCGCAGTGGTGGCATCCCTGTTTGTGTGCCTCTGGCTTTGGGTACCGCTTTGAGGATGCTCTGGTTGGTGAGGTAATGGAAATAAATTTACTCTGTATTTCATCTGTGGTTTTGTGTTTGTCCCTGCATCCTGCCTCTGCCAGCTCACACACACTTATCCACAGCCATCCTCCCTGTCTTAGCTGGGGAGCACCAGTGGTACACCCTGGCAGAGGCTTGCAGTGTGCTTCTGCTCTTTACTGTGCTGTCTGGACTGGTTGTGTTTAGGAGTAGAGTGACCTACCCCAGATATGGGAACCTAGGCAGAGAGGCAACCTTGTGCCTAGTGCTCTTCTTGGGAAAGGAAGAAATTTCTCAGCTCAGGGGCCAATGCAGGTGAAGTGTACTAGTCCTCAACTTCCAAAGGGGCTGGCAGTGGGGTTCAGCACTGCTGGCAAGCAGGGCCAAATCACACCTGCCAGCAGTGAGGCCATCAGCAACCCCAGGTGCCTTAGGAACCTGAATGCAGCCCAGCCCCTGGCTTCACCCACTCCTTCTTCTAGCAGCCCTGGCTGCTTCCAGTAGGGCTGTAGAACAAGGGGGTCCTTGAGGGTCTTTCTGCCTTGGGGCCATGGCTTTTGGTTGCAAGAACTTGTCTGCACTGGCCTGCTCTCCACCAGCACGTAGTCACTCTGGACACCCGCAGTGGGAAGATGTGATTTGCACTGACCTGGACCCAGGATGGCTGCGGGGAGTCAGTCTGGGCATGAAGGTGGAGGCTGTGGTGACCCAGGGCCCAGCGTGCCCGGAAGCTCAGGTGAGGCATGAGCATCGCACGGGAGTGGGACCCCAGGGGACCCAGGGGAAGGTGTCCATGCAACACTTCTTTGTACATGAGGGCTGGCACGTAACCTTGTTCTCCCAGGCTGTGCAGGCCTGTCAGAGGCTAGAGGAGCTGACTTGCTCTGGTGGCATTACCCAAGACACACAGCAAAGGGAGGCAGAGATAGGCTTCCATGAGGATGAGAAGTAGCCATGAAAAGACTGTGGATGTAAGAGGAGGCAGCAGCAGTGGGCTGGGAAACAATACTTGCTTGAGGTGATTGGGAGGGATTTTGCAAACCAGAGTGTGAGAGGGCAGAGGAGTTCTGCAGGAGAAGGAAGGCTCAGCGCAGGCAAAGTCTTGCTATTGACAGGACAGCCATGAAAGACACAGCCTCAGCAGGGTTCCAGTCACTGGAAGGCACCTAAAAACCAGCTAAGCTTAACTGGTCAGAAGAAGGTTATGGTTATATCTTCTATACTGGCCTGCGTCCACAGCACTGGGAGAGCCTCCTAGGGGGCAGAAGCACTGAGATCTTCCTCATGGTTTGGCTGTCAGGCACAGGCTATCACAGTGCTGGGAGCCCAGATCTATACCAGCCCTTTGCTTTCTCGTGTATTGTCTTCAGTTTTCTTATTTGACTTGGGTCAGTGTTCCCTGAAGCTTTGCCAGAGCAAATAGGCACTGTGAATGATCTAAATGACTTATTTCCTGGATGCCTGGCAGAAGTAGTTGGTGCTAGCATGGGATCTTCTGTGCTCCAGTGCACTGCGTGAGCTTCTGCATGCTTCAGGTCTGTTTATTGCTGTTGTTTCTCTCAACCCTAAACTAGCTGTTCTGCTCTAAGATTCAGTGCCTTGCTGATGACTGCCTATGTACTTAAAGAAGGCAGAAGCTGACCAGTGAAATTAATTCAAAAGTTGAATAAATACTTTTTTTCTTACTATTTTTCTCTTTCCTGTAATGTGTTGGTAAAGTATTATGTGACCTCATTTTTAGAGCCTGCTTTACACAAGCTTCTTTCTTGCTTTCTCTCATGTTTTCACATTTTCCTGTTCTCCCATCACTTGATATTAGAATGCCATATTACAATGAAAACAATAAATGATACTACAACTGCACTCAGGGTGAGAGAGGGAGGGGGTCAGCCACTATCCTTGCTCTTGCCTACGGCAACTTTGGGTACTTATGTGCCAGTTAAGATACATCTATTTATCTCAAACTGCTTTTAAATAAAAATATAGCTTTAAAACTTATCTCTAACACAAGGAAAAGGCCATAGCAACTTCAGTGCAGAAGCACACCAGCCTGTCCTTGGAGAGATGCCTCCTATAGGACATCATATCAGTCGTTTGTCTCATTCTTCCTTTTTCTAGAAGCTCTGGCTCAGAAAAAAACTTGCTCTGACTGGAGTTTAGCATAGACATTGCAGCTCTGCTTCTATGGATTCTGGGGCTTGCCTCGCTGCTGCATTTTCTTTCCATCTTTTATGAACGATGACTTCTTAAGCAATCAGGGTGACTGTATAAAGCATCCCTACCAAAAAAGCTCTTTCCTAAAGCCAGAGTTCCACTCTGTTGCCTTTATCCAGACGAAAATGATGAGCAATTGACATAGAGGGTTTTTTTGTTTGGTTGGTTTTTTTGTTTGTTTTTTTTTGTTTGTTTGTTTTTTAGATTACTGTCAGGTTTCTTTTCTGCAAGGAGCAGAGTTTTGCCTGTACAATTCAAAACACAACAATATAGCAGTACTCAAATCCAGTGATCAGCACAAGAGACCGTACATAGCCTCTATGTGAGCAGCCACATCACAGCTTTCTGTCACACTCAGTCTTGCAGAGCCATACATTTCCGTCTTTCCTTTGCAGCCTTAGTGGTGTCAGCTGGAAAGCAACTGAACTCCCTCTGCTTTGAAAGGGAGACATCTTTCTGTGGTAAGCATTCACCAGTGCAGTCATAGCATTGACTCTTCCAGCAGCTCCCTGGTGTCATAACCTTTGGGATGCAGAAAATGTGAACCATCCCAACATATACCTAAAAGACACAGAGACTTCCACAGCATGATTCCCATGAGCTGCTTTAGTTATCAGCCTGGTATGAACTGTTCTGCAGGGCATACAAGAGCAGATATTAAAATCTTGAATAGCTTGAAGACTATACAAGTAGGAAGAAATTATTCATTGTCTCTCTTGATTAAAAAAAAATGTGATAATATCAAAAACAGTTTTTATATGTAGGTTCAAAACAGAGGAAAATAGTTCTCACAACATGCAGCCCAACATATCTCTATTGCCAGGAAATCTTGTTGATGTCAAAAGTGTCTGAGTTCAAAATGTGATTGGAGAAGTGAATATTAAAAAGATCTAGGTGCTGTCAAATGCAAAGACAAGGTTAATTTGAACTGAGTTTAGACAGCTTCTGTGTTTACACAAGCATCACCCTCCACTCTTGTCACAGCCAATAGAAAGGAACAGGGACTTCCAGGGCATCATTCACTAGTTTATTTTGGACAACTCCATTCAGAGAGGTGAATTGTGTCCTCTAGATCCCTGGCTTCAGGCCAAGAGAGCATGTAGGGAGGAAATGTGTTTCTTGTTCTCTCCTCTAGGCATCTGCTTTTGATGATGGCAGAAAACAGGGGTTAGTCAAACCTTACAGCTGAGCCGGTTTCACTGCTCCAGGTATGCCTTGTTCTCTCATCAGCTGTCAAAGACACACCCTCAGGCAAACTACATACAGTTGGAACAGAAATTTTGATACATCTCTGTTCATGCAACTGTTGGCCAGGGAGGAATAACGCTTCAGGAAGAGCCACTCAAGTGGTGTGACCTTTACAAAGGTTTTGAACACTTCATGACCTATAGATGAATCCTTCCTATGGATGGTGTCAGTGCAGGGCATGGGAACACACAGCTGAAATCCAGGTTGCACAAAACATTGCATGGTTCATTACAGGGCCCTACCTGGGCCACTGCCAGCTTCTCACCTTGTTTCCCAGCCCAGGGTTACCAGGGCTTGACCATTGTGTTGGCAATGCTGCAAGTGAAAGAGAACATGACCTGCCCCATTTGGGTTGTTTCTCTTGCTGGAAGGACCAACCTTACCCAGACTTTTTGCTTCTGCTGTTTCCTATACTTCACTTGCCCTGAGAGCATGTCAATGATGTCCTTGGGGACAGGGGACACCATTAAGAGGAGGTCTACATTTCTCCAAACTGTGTGACAGAAACTATAAGATCTGGAATAGGAATGAGCCAAAGCAATTGTCTCTGCACAGTAGTATTTCTCTTGAGCCCAGTGCTGCCCTGGCTCACTACCTTACCTGCCACAGCCCCACTGCAGCTCCAGCACCTTTGTGAATCATTAACCGGCCAAGTCCAGCTGCTCCTTCCACAGCTTCTCCTTTCACACAATTTTCTTCCCCAGCACCCCAAATATTTAATTCAAGCAAGGCACAGACAGAGAAGAGACAAAAAGATTTTATGTGAATTTGCATTTGCTGATAACATGACAAGCAGCCAGAGCAATGGCAGGAAAATATGCCTTGTCTCTGCACTCCTGGTGGGCAAGCTCTGACACTCCACAGACATCCCTGTTCCTCCTCTTATAGAGAGCCATCTCTTTGGGGGCTTGCAACAGGACTTAGCTTAAAAGTGCTTCTCAATCTCCTTCATAAACTTTCTGGCCCTACTCCTTTATTAGCAGTTCCTGGTCATTTGAGCCCCTGCAATAAACTCCCAGTATGATGCTTTGTGCTCAGTGCAGGGTGGAGCTTCTCTAGTCCAAGGCTGATCAAAGTAGGCGGGCAGTGCAGAGCAGTCAGATGTACTTAGAGCTGGGATGTACACAAATAAAGGGGACGGGAAGGAGCAGCCACAGGTGTAGGTGGGAGCTGAGAACACGTGTATATGAGAGCCCAGCACGTAGGCAGAGTGTTCGTGTGACTGCCTAGAGGGCTGTGGACCACAGCAGTGAACGGGTGTGAGGGCAACTTTGCTTGAATCAGGCCTGGTGGTGCTTCAAGAGGACTTTGCTAAGGTGAGAGATTTTCAACCATTTCTTGGTATCTGGTGTGGATGCTCTTGTGCCCAGAACTGTAGTCACTGCTCATGCTTAGCAGCCTGAACTGGGAGATAACTTTTGTAAAACACTGCAAACATACAGATGCCAGCAAATTGCTACGATTCTTCCTGCAGACAGAAGCTGTTGGCCTGACTTAGAGGGTAGCTCCTGCTTCTACAGGCTGTCTTCTCAGTGCCCTTGCTTAGCTTTTCCCACTATTGACCGTCATGCCAGCTGCTCTCCTCTGGGCAGATGACTTCTAATTCTGCAGAAGATGACCAGGACAAATTGAAGAAGCATTTGAAAAACTATGAGCAACCATCAGTGCCATCAAAGAGGAGTGCCTGGGGCTTCCCTGGCACCAGATCCTCTTTGCTATACTGCTGCCACTACAGCAATGGGGAATGTGTACAGGTCTGGAGAACTCCCCCACACTGGCAGAGCACTTAACACCAGTCTGCACTGCATGAGATATTTTGGGCTATCTCACACCTACCCCAGGCATGTATAGATTCAACAAACCCTGGGGACGTGCCACTCAATACCACAAACTTTGTACTCTGGGAACAGGCTACCCAATGCTCAGAGTGTGTTTGATGGGTAGATTTCCCTTGGGCTGCTTGTTGCTTTCTGTAATGCTTGCTCTTTGCCAGGATCAAGATTTTCCAAGGTCCCTGTGTCTTTCTGGAAAAGCATAAAACTCTGGTGGTTTTTTTTTTTGTTTTTTTTTTTTTTTTTTTTTTTTTTGTTTTTTTGTTTGTTTGTTTGTTTGTTTGGTTTTTTTTTTTTTTTTTGAGACTCTAGCTGCTCAGGCAGGCAGATCCCAGCTATTTGTGTTCTCATACATTGGCTGTGGGAGACTAACACAGCAACACTGGATTGTCGTTTTTTTCAGTAGTTCCTGTACTTCATCCTCTGTACCTTGAGATTCTTCCTATTCTTTCTGCTCTCAGCCAAATCCTGGCTCATCTCTCTGCCAGCACACAGTAGCAGTGTGCCTTTTTTTTGTTCTGCAGTTGAGATTGTCTCAATCATTCTGGGCTGATCCTTACTCAGCAGCTCTATGAGAGCTTCATATTTTCACTTTTGCAATATGAAATTAACTGAATCCCTGGTGACTCTGGATGTTTGCTGTGGGGAAAATGTTTAGACCTTAGTTTAGAAATATCCCAGCTGCCATGATTGAGAGATGCAGCGGTGAAGAATAAGGTTATGTAACTAGTATTTCTAGGTATGGTATTTCATACCATATTAGGGAAGGTACGATACAACCTCTACTGTTCTTTGCTGCTACTCTATTCCACTTCACCAGGCACACAAGTCATTTCAGTCCTGCCCTCTGTGGAACAGACTTCTCAGGGCAACAATCATCACTATTTCTTGTATAAGAGTGAAGAAGCTGTTGAGGCTGTGGCCTCACACGAGGTCATTTCTACCAAGAACAGTCACAGAAATGGCCTGCATACTCTGTCAAATGTCTAAAACATGCAGCTATCCCACTCTGATTTGATTCAAGATAAAAATATTCCCTACCAAATCCATTCTCAGACTATTTGCATGCAAATTCCCATAGAAATAATTATTTCTGTGGTTTTAAATCTGCCTGGGCATTTTCATGCCGGTGTTCATGTTTGCTCAACAGAATTTTCTTGATTAATAACTTCTGGCTGTAGTCCAGGAACTCTGTGAGGAGTTAGAGTAACAATATTAATCGCGCCAGATGGAAGAGATATTGTCAAAGTTAATTTGGAAGCCGGGACTTTTGGTAAACACTACTGTATTCCTTGCATTGTATTTGCAAGGAGGAAGCTGATAAGTGACTGATTTTTACAACACTCTTTGTTTGCAGCTTTTCCTGGGTTGGTCCAAATAGCGACCTGATTCAGCTTATCGTCAGACCTGAACACTACAGGCCGTTTGTGTAACCAAAAAAATCAGTGGGCTTCTTGTCCAGGAGACCAGAAGCTTGTGGTCCCTTACTAAATGCACAGCCCTATCCTTGCAAGACATTATTAAAGGAAAATTCATATTGTGGTAGCACTTACAGGCTTACCCATTGGGCTGGTTATTGTCCTGGCTCTGAAAAATTATAATTGCTGCCTTATAAACCTAAGCTCAAAACAATGCACAACAGATACCTTAGATAAACAAGTCAATTTAGCATATATGTTGGAGGGACAGATGAGTTCCTAGCTGGTTAGCAGCAGTGACTGTACCTGAAAATCTAAAACATCAGTACTAGAGGAACTGAAATAATAGGAGGAGGCACCCCCATGCAAATTTGGCCAGTGTGGCCAGTGCTGCGAGCACTCCTCTGTATTTGAGGCACAGTCAGGCACTGCTGGGGGAGGGAAGGAGAGAGCACAAGACAGGAGCAGTTGGCAGAGCATGCTTTAATGTACTTTTTAAAACAGAGGTTTAGTGTGAGAAACAAGGAGGCAGCTTTGGGCAGAACTTTGAGTTCAATTAGCACAATCTATTGTACCTCTTCTCATACAAGACCTATGGAATGAGTGGGGTAGGGAAGAAGGGTAGCAGGAGACAGTCTTTAAAAAGGAGTTAGGCTAAGAAGAGGGCTAGTAGGCAGGCAAGCATTAAGCCTGCCTACACTTGTAGGACTTTCTAGCAAAATTGCTTATGATGCTTTAACTGTAGAGGAGATATTGTTGTGCTTGGATTTATCACAGTGCCAAATTACTTCCTTTGGTATGTCAGTTTTTGCCTGTGGTGATAATAAATGTTTCCTGAAATTTCAAAAAGAATATAATTAAAAAACCCTGAAACCTATATTGTATGTTTACAGCATTTTGGCATTAAAATAATTGTAAATGGTGGTCAGAGCAAGTGTTTAAAAGTAACAATGTGGAACTGTTGAATTCTCCACAAAAAAGTGGTTTTTTACATCTTTTCTTCATAAAAATTGCCCAGATCATGTCTGCAAGGCTTGTGTACATGAAGTACACATTTGTGTGTATGGACTTATTTCAATGCACTCAACTAGCTCTTAAACTTTGATAAAAATGCAGACAAGCTTTTCAATATCTTCTAGGACAGCATCAGACAACACTTACTGACAACATTAGACAAACTTACTGACGAATTGTGTTTTTGTTACAGAAAACCTCCAGCCCTGCAGAACTTATGTCCTCTTCAAAGACGGCTTGTGCAGTGGTTGTCACAATGTCATTGGTATTGTGACAGCTTTCTAAAACCCTGTGCCTACAGAGAAATTCACAGGAGCCTGATGCACCACATCCTGCCTTCTTTGTGATCCTGTGATGCTGAACTTCCTCTGTCTCTGCAGGTCCTTTGCAACCATGGTGAAGTCTAAAAGAGTGCATGTGCTCCTGATCCTGGTAGTTCTATCCTTCCTCCTGATCCACTTCCTGCCCTGCAGCAACAATGCCCCCATGGAAGAAAAACCTTCTCCAGTCCACATCCTCATTCTCTCCACCTGGCGATCAGGATCTTCCTTCACTGGACAAATCTTCAGCCAGCACCCCAGCGTTTTCTACCTGATGGAGCCCGCATGGCATGTCTGGGTTAAGATGTCCCAGAACAGTGCCAAAGTCTTACACATGGCAGTGCGGGACTTAGTTAGGTCGGTCTTTCTGTGTGACATGTCTGTATTTGATGCTTACATGTCTAGCCAGAAGAAAAAGTCCGATTTATTTCAATGGGAGACAAGCCGAGCCTTGTGCTCCCCACCTGCCTGCGACTTGTTCAGTCGCACTGACATAATCACTGCAGGCAATTGCAAAAGGATCTGTAGCAAGTACCCATTCAGCAAGGTGGAGGAAGCTTGTAAAACCTACAGCCATGTTGCCATCAAGGAGGTTCGATTCTTTGACCTGAAAGTCCTTTACCCCCTTCTCACTGATCCATCCCTGAACATCAAAATTATTCACTTGGTCCGTGATCCCCGGGCTGTGTTCAGGTCCCGCGAGAAGACAGCGGCAGACCTGAAACGTGACAGTAACATTATTGTGGGGTCTCAGAGGACAAAGGGTGAAATGGGGCCCTACAACACAATGCAAGTAATTTGCAGAAGTCATGTTGAGATTTATAAGGCAGGAATTCAGGCCACTCCCAGCTTCCTGAAAGACAGATACTTGCTGGTTCGCTATGAAGACATTGTCAGAGACCCTCTGGCAAGGGCTGCTCAGATGTACAGGTTTGCAGAACTACATTTCACACCAGAACTTCAGAAGTGGGTGCACAACATCACTCATGGGAAGGGTCTCGGAGCACAGGCCTTTGTAATTGGGTCCAGAGATGCACAGAGAGTATCTCAGGCCTGGAGGGAGACACTTCCCTTCCAGAAAATAGAAAAAGTGCAAAAAGTGTGCAAGGATGCAATGGACTTGCTGGGCTATCGGCTCGTTCAGTCTGAAGAAGAGCAAAAAAATATGTCACTGGATCTTTTGTTTGCCCAGAACTCCTCTGAGTATCAAACTCTGAAGGCAGAACAGCTGGTGTCTGTACCTACTCTCTGAAGACTGCCGAGGGCAGAACTGTCCACTAGAACAAAAGAGGACAGAGGTGCAGGCATAGAAGCGTAAGAGCATGTGCATGGATATGCATGGTTGCAAGGACAGGTAACATAGGAATCCTGACTGCATTCACAAGAGCTCTCAGCAGCACAGGGTCACACTCTCTAAGGCCCCCTGGAGACTCAGCCACAATGGAGGCTGAAGTAATGCAAGTTTGTTCTCCAAATAAGGTATGTTTAGATTGGAGCATACAAACTAGTAAAGCAGTGGGACCAGATAGCAGAACTCGACCCCCCCACATGGAAGCAATTGCACTGCAAAGGAAGAGGAAATATAAAAGGAAGCTGAATAGAGAGAACATTATTTGTCATGCTGCTACACGGGACATGTAATGCCAGAAGAGATGCAAAGATGACCAACATTTGGTTTCTGGAAAGATGCTTTTTTTTTGAACGGTTTTCAAGCCCAGTTTTCCTTTTGCTTCATTCCTTTGCCTGGGTATCCAGCCTTGCTGGCAGTGTTGGGGAAATGTTTGTGTTCATTTACTGTATAATGGGAAAATGGAATAAACCTGCTATTGTTGAAAATAAAAACTCTTGGATTTGCATGTGGGGATCCATTTCTGGGATTATATGAATCCATTTATTTTTTTAGTTGAAATAATTCTGTCTTTTAGCTTTCAGACCTGAGAATAGTTGTACCCCGTGAGTTCTCACAGTCCATATGTGTGACAGTGGAATTCATGGTAAGGTTGAGATCCTAAAGACAAGGTAAGGACACAGTTTCCATTGGTATAAATACTGGACTGGGAAGATAGGTTCATGGGAGTGGACCGAAGAAGCCCATGGCACAATTGGAGATGCCATTCTCCCACCTCCAATGGGAATATGTAGCTCAAACCAGAACAACAGAATTATTTTTACCAGGTTTTAACAAGGAGAAAAATTTGTTACCAGACTTGGGGAGGACTGAAATGCCTACAAATACCTCTTCCTAAACATCTCTTTCACATGTAAATTGTGGATCCCCTTTAACACACATCTACAGATCACTTGCTACCTTGGCAATATGGATTTCTATATTCCTACAACTAAACTTCTAATCCCTGCAAAGGGTGGGATGTTGTATTATGGAAATAATAGTGTTATTACGGGGGATCTTGTTGTTGAATGACAAAATCCATGGCGAGCAGGCAGCACTGGCATCATGGTACTAAGTCCACTGAAAGCAAGGCATCTTCCTTTACACAGTGTTTGTGCAAACTTAGGGCAGGTAGGCTGACATAGAGAAGTGGGACTTGTACTGTGCCAGAGAACCACATAGCCAGTTTTTCTTCAAAGTCCCTTTAAAATAGACCTTAACATATCCAGCTAATAGCATGGGGGCTCAGAAGCCTCTTCTTATTGACGTTATAGTAAAGAGCTTCCTACTTTAAGTGCCAAGAAGCCTGATTTTGAGCAAATATAGTCTTTTCAATACATTACTAATTATATCTCTACGTCAGCTTGAGTGACTTAAGTTCTATTATAAATACTTGTTTTCAGTGGACTCAATCAATGCTGTCTATCAAATGTTTACCTGAACAAAAGCCCTGATAGTGTTTCCAGTCAGTCAGTAAACAAATGACATAAAAGTAATATATAATGCATTTTCTTAGTGTACTGTTTTGAAAATTACTTTAGCTTCTGCTTCCTGGAATGGGAAGCTTTTTGCTGCAGGGGGTGACAGATCTCCTGTTGATGAACCTGGTCATCAGCAGTACTTGGATTTCAAATCCAGCTGGTAAAGTTTCTAATTTAAAATTCTTACTATTCTGTTTGCTGTGATGTCTTGCGCTCCTTTGTTAAGTGCTTGTCTGGCCTTCCACACAAGTCTCAAATAACCAGCCTGAACGGCATGAATGTGCCAAATAATTAGTGTTTTTTCAGCAGGAATGACCTGTCCAGTGAAACACTGCATAGTGCAGCTTCAGCATTTATTTGGTTACATTGGTTAACTCCCCTAATAATCAGTTGGTGTTTCAGATGTTTCCGTGGTTTCCTGAAATAGCAGTCTCATTATATCAAACTGTTACTTACTTTCAAGATAATCTGAATTTGGCTTAAAATCTGCAACTTCCCAATCCACCTTAATTTGTGTGCCACAGTGCAATAAGCAAAAAACCCAAAATATAAATCTTTAGGAAAAAAAAAATTTGGTTTTACCAGCCCATTTAGTTTCACCAAAAGAATGAAATCCAGTTTTATAGGAGTCACTTCAAATAATATTATGTGACCAGAGCACAACGTGCTAAAATTACCGAGTTTTTCAGATTGTGACTGTATACTAGCAACTATCACAACTTAGGTGATACCTTAACTCTGGGCACTCTTAGTTAACTTGTCTCTCCTACTTCTATTATTGCACATGGCTCTGGAAGCCGGTGTACTTTTTCCAACTAGAATATATGGTCTGGTACATGCGTTACTTTGCCTGGATTAAGGAAGCTGCAACACTTCAACCTGTAGAGATAAAAATGGGCCTTTTATTAAAAAAAGTTACTTTAAAGCATTGAAACTTCATAATGTTGATCAAATTTTCCATCACATTTCTGAAATGACTATAAAGTTCCTGCCACAGTCCTAGATCAGTTGTCCTCCTCTTGCTAACTCTTCCTAAATGCTATCCGCTTTGCTACATTTTCAGCTCCAAATTTGACTATCAATTTATTTCTGACATGTTCATCATCCTTTTGCAATTCTAAATCATCCTCTCTGCTCCATACAGGGTACCCATCCAAGCGCTGCCCCATCTGCAGAAAGTCTGAAGTAGCCTCCACTTCACCACTGTTTTTCAGAAAGGCCTGTGTAACAGTGAACAGGTCCACACTGAACTTCTCCATGAACTGCTGCATAGTTTTTACTACTTCTCCCACCACACTGGAAGAACAAGTGCTTGTTGGTCTTTCTTCCCTTTGTAACTGAGTGTCAGGGAAAGCAGAGTCCTCCAGTCCAGATTTCAAATCAGATGCTGTTTCTCCTGGGGAATTTCCTCCTTCATCTTGTGTAGAAAGTTCTTCTGAAACATCTGAAGTGTCACTTTCTGACTGAGAGTAAAAGAAGTGGAGTCACCAATTAGACATGGTATTTTCTGACCAGCTTTTTTTACTACTGCTACCAACTACCTTCCACTGTGACTCTACAGTATATAAAACCCTCAGAAATTACTAGGCATGGTAAAATTCAATTACTGAAGTTAAGCTGTATGTGTTAATGAAGATACACTTGATCATAGAAAGGCATGAAATGCAAGGGAGACTTTGAACAAACTAAGCGTAAAAAGCAAAAGTGATGATGCAGCGGCAGGAACGTTTTGTGCCTGAGATGAAAGGATGACTTCTATTTGCCAATGCAGGTTTTAACGTGACAACCCCATCACATAAACCTCCTCACGTTAACTTGGGCAGGGAACAAAGTTAAGAAAATCTGTGGCAGCAAGGCCCCGTGCATTACAAGCTACGTAGCTGACAGCTCACAAGAAGCTCCCCTGTAGCCGCAGAAGGGATGTCACGATGCAAAGGCATTTCACTTGTTAACGATGCGTAGGGATGCTGCCGCCTGTGACACCGGGGAGGGTCGGCCCCGAGCCGCTCGCGGCACCGCTGCTGCCCGGGCTGGCCCCACTCACCTCCGCGCTTTCGAACTCCAGGTTATTGGCCGCGAAGAGACCCGAGACCTGCGAGGTCTCCTCCGCTTGCAGAGGCTCTGCGGAAACACGCGGGCACCGTCAGCGGGGCCTCAGCGGGGCCCGGGCCCGCGCTCGGCCCCGCCATCCCCGCCCTGCCCGCCGTGTGCCCCCCGCTCACCCCCGAGCAGCGGCCGCAGGTGCCGCAGGAAGCGGTCGCGCATGGCCTGCCAGCTGTGCCGGGTCAGCCCGCTCCGCTCCAGCTCCATCCACAGCGCCCGCCCGCCCGCCCGCGCCGCGCCCCCGTCGCGCACCGCCCGCAGCAGCGCCGCGTCCTCCGCCTCCGTGAAGGCCAGGCGGCCGCGCGGGGCGGTGGCGACGGCGGGGGGCGGCGCAGCGGGCAGCACGAAGGGCTCCAGCGGCAGCCGCTCGTTGCGCTCCACGCACTCCGTCACGTACTCGGTGGAGACGGCCCCGCCGGGAGCCGCCTCGCCGGGCTCCGCCAGGAGCACGGCCCCGGGCTCCTGCACGCGGCACAGCCGCCCGCCGCCCGCCAGCACCAGCGGCGCCAGGCGCAGCTTGGCCGCCCCGGGCCGCACGTAGAACCGCATCGGGCGCCCGTCGTCCCACAGGAACAGCGACCGGGACCGCGCCGCCTCCGCCGCGGCGCCCGCCATCGCCTCCCCGCGCCCGCCCGCCATCACTGCCTCGGACCCGCCCATCGCCAACACTCCCCGCGCCCGCCCATCGCCATCACCGCCCCCAGCCCGCCCCCCATCACCGCCCCGCGCCCGCCCATCGCCATCACCGCCCCCAGCCCGCCCCCCATCACCGCCCCGTGTCCGCCCATTGCCATTATCCCGCGCGCAGGGGCGGGAGGCCGGGAAGGCGGTGCTGGCAGCGGGAGATGGCGGCGGCGGCGGCGGCAGAGCGCGCGTGCGAGGCGGCGGAGACCGAGTCGCACCTCAGCAAAAAGTGAGGGTGGGCGGGCAGGCGGGGCCGGGCCGGGGAGGTGAAGTTGAAGGTGAAGGTGAAAGTGAGGCGAGGCGAGTGTCCGGCTGACTCAGTGCGTGTCTCCGCCAAGGCACCCGGCGGAGCCCCATGCTGAGCCCCGTCGCCGCGCGGCTCCGCGGCTGGGCCTGGAGGGCCGCGCCCGCGCTCCGATGGCGGCAGGCGCTTCATGACCGGAGCAGGTCGGTGCTTTGCGTCTGGCTCGGACCAGTTCTGTCCTCACGGAGTCCCGGACGGCGGGGTCGGGAGCGCGGCAGGAACCTGAGTGCCCTGGGGAAACGGGCCGGACCGCGAAGGCGGCTTCGGGAACCTTCCGTTCGCCTGACCTCTTGCAGTGGGGACCTTGCCTTGTTTCACTTTCACGCTGCGTGGGGCTGCCAGGCTCATTGTAGTAAAATGGATGTGGAATGCCCCTGGACGCTTAGGCGTTGTCTCCGCTGTTTAATTTTGCTTTCACTTTCCCTGAGTATTTGTATCGTAGGATATGAACTAAAAGAGTTCAAAGAA